CGGTGGATCATCCATGCATAGCCCCTGTCTCTTATACACATCTAGATGTGTATAAGAGACAGGTCCCCCCCACCACCAAATTCCCACAAGTTTCTCAGCAGATTTGGGCTGTAGTCAGCAAGCGCAGTACAGCCCTGAACTCGGATTTGAAAAACAAATCAGCATGTGTCCCTCTACTGACTGGTCGGCAGACCACCGACCGTGCCGTCCTACTGGTAGTCTGCAAAACAGTCGGCGGTCGGAGGGTATGCAACCTTGCCTATGGGGCTGAAGATCGGCTAAGGTGCCTGTGTCTTCAGGAGAGAACGGCAAAGAGTAGGTCATTGTGTATAATCTTGCGTTCTGGTTCTATCTCATAAGTACTCCATCATATCAACAGGTGAATCCCCTGCATAATCATTCGAACGCAATTTCTGTCATATCATGCAAGAATGGGTAGCAAGTTATTAGCAACACATAAGTAGCAAGCTCCACCGAGCTGTCTCTAGTTCTGAGTTTTGAAATTGAATGGAATTGGATTCCCGTTCTCAGGAGTAGGATTTTGCCACCTGATTTGGATGATACCACCTGATTTTATCTCCACTGGGCCTCCTTGAAAGTGCTTTTCACTGGCATGTCCCTTCTCCTCATAGCTGCAGAGGGCCTGTATGTTCTCTACCTTAGTCAAATTAGTTCGGCCAGGGATATACCATTGAATTCCCACCAAGGTTTTCGTAAAGGAGGTATTTGAGCAGGCTCTGAAGGTATAAGTTGGACGCACCACGGCTTTGCTCATCTGTGGAGTGTGTACGGCCATGCATGGTAGAAAGTCGCCCACAGAGGGCAGAAGGACAAGAAGAACACAAATCATGATGCAGATAGTGCATAGTTGTGTTTCATGTCACCAGAAAACCATCATGCACAGAAACCCATACATATCAGAGACAGTTTGTGAGTGTGTACTGAGCAGACAGCTGAGAGGAGCCAATTACAGTTAGAGGAAATTAGCACATGTCTGCATGTGCAGATTTACAGAGAGTTCCAATGCAGATACTGTCCGACAATGCAAGCAAGTACAGAAAACCTTCTGCTATGGTTTGTGCCTGATGTCCTCTCCCTCCTCCCCTCTCTCCTCTGCTCCCTCCTCTGCTCCCTCCTCTCCGTCCTACTCTTTCCCTTCCCCCCCCCCCCCACCAAAAAAAAAAACCCTTGATCATCTCGTCCAGCATCAGCAGCCCGACATCCTATTCTCCCTTTCTCTCTCTCTCTCATATGGGCTGGGTGAAGCTATGTTGGCTGGGCTGTGCGAACCACCCTTCCTCATCCAAAAAAAGGAGAAACACAAGAGAGACCTGCTATGTACTTGAAAAACACACACACAGACATCTCTCCCGAAGCACGAAAAGAGGAGCATATTGTGGGACCGCTAGATGGTATTATGTGGGCTGCATGGTACTATTTTGCCTGGTTAGTACTTGATGGGTGAGGTGGTACCATGTGGACTGGGTGGTCTGGCTGTGGGGTACCGTGGGGTGGGTTACACTATGCAGCCAGGATGGTACTATGAGGCCTGGGTGGTTCAATACGGGGTACGTGGGTGTCGCTACGTGGGCTGGTTTGCGCAATGTGGGGTATGTTGGTGAAGCTATGTGGGCTACGCTGTGGTAACTCCCTGCGCCCCTCCTTAAACCACCACTATCTTTTCCAGCTGAATCTCTTCGACGCGGCAAGTCACAACCCGTGTCTTTTGGGATATTCTACTTGCCTGCCAAGCGGCGCGTTATTCAATTGTGCGGGCCCTGCACGTGACGGTTTTGCCTGGATGAATTCGCTGCCGCACGGCAGGTCGGTACATCCCTGAAGAAGTGGTGTGTGCAGGGCAACGTCTCATAAATTTGCCCGTGAAAAGTACAGGCAGTTCAAAGAGAGGAGAACCAAGGAGAAGTTGCCCCCGAAAGATCCAACACCCCAATGTGCATGAGGTGTTGGAACTTGGAACCCCGTTTGGCTGTGTTCTTGTATTTTGTTTCTTTCTTACTAGAGACGGGTGTAGCCCCTAACATTATTATTCCATCATAACTTGTACTCATGACCTGTTTACGGATATTGTCCATTTTTTCTTTTCTTTAAAAAAAACTATGCTCTATTCTTCTCTCAATTCCTTTCATCATCTCTCAAATTCTTTCAAATTCACCTTCCACTACCTACCTACCACTACTCCTAAGGCTATACAGGGGACCCAGTCTATACAGGTGACCCCTGCAAGCATAGGCTTTTGCCTCTCACAATGAAAGCGGATGAATGTTGCGCCTTGCCCTAGTGGCTTAGGGTGGAGGGTTGGGGCCACCGGTGGGGGCCCGGCTAACACAAAGACCGAGCATTTTGGCTGTATCTGCGCTCCCTTTTTCATCTTCCCCTGCCCCTTCGAATAGCAGCAGTGTCTTAGGCCAACAATCTCCCACACACCACACG